TGTGAATCATTTCCAAAATTATTACCATTTGTCTTACGGTGAAAGAAAACATTGTGAAGAAACCTGAATGTCTGGGAGAACTTAGCAAATTTTCGAAAGACATGTGAAATCGCCAATCCACACATGGTCATCATGATGGAATATGGTCTGATCCCCCTCGTATTGAAGGGAGGCCCTTACCCTGCTGTGGGATGTTAAAAAAAGACCTGAATACAATGCAGGGTATGAAATAAATACTTGACTGGTGAATTCTAAGCAAAAAAAACATATCTCAAATATTTACTACATTTGTACCCAAACTAGAGATAATAAGAAATCCGGTCTTTACATTTACAAAATTAAGGCCGTATGTGACGTCGGGTTGTTCTTACTAAAATCAAGTTTTGCAATTCCTACAATACTAGAACATCTATTATTGCAATACATAAAGCTATAATTATTGATCGAGAATCGCAACCAAGTTACCGACATACTGGCAATGGTACTAATTATAATCACTGAATTTATTATACTACCAAGATCATAAATATTTCTATAAATAAAAAATCTGAAAATTTACCCCTCTTCAATTAATCATTTCATCATTAGTTGCAATTCAAATTGGACAAGATATCCGTCCCAATTTCCACGGTCAACAATCATTATTTTGGCTACGTTACTTAATTACGTTATCATTAAAATTTCGAACATCAATATTTCTGTCGATTACAGACATTTCCAAACTGAGTGAGTTTTGAATAAATCGGACGTAGAGATAACCGAAGCGATAAAATATTCGGTGAATCTGGTTTACAATTTTCCTCTTCTGTCCGGTTGAAAACGATCGAGTCCATCCGGTAAAATAGAAAAATTTCAATAAAGTGCCGCACATTGGAGTTGAAATCAAATATTTTGTTACAGCCACGCGCGTAGTTGCGTGCTTGGTAAACATTTAGATCAAACAGGATAACGTAATATATCCTTTATTTTTTGGGTTATAGGGACCATTATACTTTGATATATCTATCGTTCAATCTTTGGTGAAAATAAACAGCCTTAGCAACTAACTATTGCGGATATTGGTTATTTTGTGTACAAATACAGATTTGATGATTCTCAAATATTTGTTCTCAACGAGAAATAAAAGTATAACAATTTATTGTTTGGAAAAGCTCTTATTTTAACTGATTAAACCTACTATTGTACTCAACTTTCATAGAAATAAGTTAGACACACAATAGTGGCAAAGTATAAAATCCCATACGGTATGAGCGATAGCATATTGCGATCCGAAATCATTGGAGACGAGCCAAAATGATCCGACGGCTTTGTATCGAGGGTAGTTCGAGATTTGCGACACTTGCCAAGTTGTAGATGTTACCTGTCTGGCGTGGGTTCTTTGTAAATAGCGGCTTAATCTTAGGAGATATTGCATATTGTTTATTAGCAAAACAATGTTGGCGGTTACAGGGAGAAATAGTGTAATTACAAATAAAATAGAATGGAAACCTTCATAACTTTTTTTCAAATAGATAATAACATAAGTGAATTATTACCCCTATCTTAGTAACATATGATATGATAGCTTTAATAAAAATAGCTATCAGCTTTAGTAATAATGTTGGAGTTGGTATTAAAAGTTGCAAAATAAGCGTCCAGCGATGCTGTCAAGTTTTATATAAAAGGTAAGAGAAATATATTTTTTGTATTATCGTTGGGACAGTAAAGCTTAAAAATTGTAAGAAATGTTGAAATAAACAAAGACTCATTAAAAGTTTCCCTCTAATCGGAGCCCACGTTGGGCGCCAAAATGGCGTCGTAAAAATAAACGTAGCGGAACCGAAACAAAATTTGTATAATAAAAATATTTCATAGTACCTAATATGGCTTTTATAATGTTTTGTAGATCTTCCCTAGAGCCAAGTCTGCTTTATATATAACAAGACTGGTGAAGTATGGCCAGTTTACTTTGCTAACTTAAGTATTTTAAGTAAACTTAGTTTTTAAGTAAGCACATTCTATTATAACACTTGAAACTACTTATCGCAAGTTGAGTTTTTCTTATTTTTCTAAGGATTGAATACATGGTCAACACAATCAACTAGGTGTTTATGGGATTCGTCTCTGTTCAAGACAAAAAGAGACATACATATCCAATGTATGTTATTTCTTGGACAGAGAATCTTATTTGTATGATTGTACTTGTCACTTAGTAATTACACTATAGTCTCAAAGTGAAAGTGCATAAGCGTCTGCGTTTTAAAATCACGAACAGCACTAGAATAAGATATTAGAGATTTAGCGTACGGCAACCAAGCAATTATACCGTAGTGACACATTTAAATTATTATAATATAAATATTCCCGTGTCACGATGTTGGTCTGGGATGAACTCCGAAACTACTTATCCTATCTTAACGTTTTTTTTTTCAAATTGTGTGATTTGTTCCAACTTAAAAATAGGATAATTTTTATCCCCATTACTATATCCTTTTTTTATTGCAAAATTAACTATTTTCATATGTCTGCCATAGCTACGCGTGGTCGGGTCTGCTAGTAAACTATAAAATCTAAGTAATAATATCATATTTCGCATTCAAAGACATGGAAAACACGAATACATAAAGATTTTGCGATAAACAATATCTCATAGCAAATTTATATTTCTCAAGCTCAAAGACTGCGCATTCGTGATCCCTATGAATTATTACAAGTATCTACAACAGGTTTGTTTCGACGTTTTCGAAGAAAATAGTAAAAGGAAATTTACAAACTAAGTTTTCTAAATTTTATACCGTCGGGTTGTATGTAGTTTTATGGCTTGGCTGTTGTGACTTTTATGAAAGTCGCTAGACCAATGAAAAAGAATGGCAAAAGAATGAAGAATCTTGATAATCAACACACTTAACATAACCCTTTTTACCCGACTACGGTGAAACCAAAAGGAGGGTTATGTGTTTGATTTACGAGTATTTCTTGAAGTAAATAGCCCCAAAACTCTTGGTGAAATGTATTAACAGTACTTACAGATGAGCATTCAAGACGAATCTATATTATATATTTAAAATGAAGTTCATTTTGTGGTGACTTATGTTGTGAGATATGATTTTGTTTCAGTTTGTATTATATAAGTATCGTACATATTATGTACATGCATTCTACCAAAGCATATAGAATATCATGCGTAGATTTGAACATTTCGTAGCAAAACAATATGTAAAATCAATTCAGAATGTTTTAATATAAATTATAATAACTTTATTAATAGCAGTTTTAAAAGCATTCCTTCGTAATATCTATAATTTAATCATAACCGTAAATAAAACTATCTTTCTACTGAACAAAAATCTTACAATTCGCGTTCGTATATTAACATTTTACTTATTTTAAAACAGATGCTCGTAACTGCGACAAATTAGTTTTATTCACGATTATGAGAGCTTAGGAAAGGAAATATAACCATATATTCATAAAAAATAAGCTTTAATTAAAAATAAAATAAGATTTGATAAGAAATCATAAAACTTTTTAAGTACCATATGTAATATATGATTAAAACACCGTACACTGCAATTTTTTTCCAGAATTGTAAATGAATACTTCCTTACATGTATGTTTTATTTTATTCAGGACCCAACCTTGTACTGATTTATTATTATATATAAATCCTTAAGAATCATGTTATTTATTAAGGACAACTCTTTGCCAGCGGCTTCGCTCGCGTGTAATAAGCGGAGTGGGGTTCAAAGGTAGCAAGCATGTCCGATCTCAAGATGCAATCTACATCCTTGCCAAATCTTATCAAAATCTATTCAGTAAGTGTGAAAACTAGGAGACAGTTACATTTACATTTATAACATTAAATATGGATACAAAACGCAACGTTTATATTCTAGCGTTACGTAGATGAATTTATGTTATACGATAAAATACCGGTAGTCTGTTGAGAGCACGCTGTGTTTGGAAACAGAGTGAGGCAGTTCAAAACCCGGGTTATGCATTTTTAAGACTTTGGTGGGAATTTGATTTTGAACATTATAACGTCAAAAGCCTTTCAACATCCTAAGCCTTGCAGTGGGACGTTAATTTATTATTTATTTATTTAGTAATTAAACAGCGTTACAGTTTTAATTAAGATTGTATATTGTACACAAAGTAGATTTACAATAAGGCTAAAAATAGAATACACTGTTAATCTATACTAAAATTATAAAGAGGCAAAGTTTGTTTGTTTAAACGCGCTAATCTCCAAAACTTCTAATCAGATTTGAAAAATTCTTTTTGTATTATATAAATTTATATTTTGCATATCCCTGGCTTGCTTCCCAATACAAACTTACAACCCCATTTTCACTCCCTTATTAAGGGATGATTTCTAGGATAAAAAATATCGTATGTCCTTCTCAGGGTCTCAAACTATCTTCTTACCAAATTTCATCTAAATCGGTTCAGTATATTTAGAGATTACCTCCTAAAGTGCACAAACTCACACTTCACAAACTATTCCTCTTTATTATATTATAGTATAGATTAAGTAATTACGTGTGTAGCGATTTTAAGACTCGAGTATAGAATGACAGTCTCGATGTAAGCGATGAACGGATTTTTGTTCATTTTACTCTATTGATCGCACTTGGAACGATTAACTTATTAACAATTGTTTTATCGATTAAAAAATACATTCATTCGATACATATAGAAATAGAAATTTAACAATTATCTACTTATAATTTTTTTTATGTAGTATATTAGAAGATTTGATATCATAGGCGTCATTTTAAATAAAACTATCTTTTCGGAGAGTCTCTCCCGTGACCATGGATGCTGTAATGCATTCGAAACGTCGGGAAACAAAAATGCAAATAAATCCGCGACAAAATCCGAAAAGATAGTTTTATTTAAAATGTCAAATATTCGCGTAAATCTAAGGAAGTATTATCATAGGCGTCATTTTTGAAAATTTGCAATGTACGGCGATTGAAGGAGAAATGTAACAATTACTTAAGTGCTTAGATACTTACATGTGTAGTCCCAGCTGTCTTGGTCATTTTTGAACACGTTCAATCTTTCAGGCTGTAACAAAAAATATATTTATATAATAATGAATCTATAAAATAATTAAAGTGTAAACTAACACACTTGTAAAATAACTTTAATTTATATAATATATTCCCCATACAAACTTTCACCCTCTTAAGGGATGATTTCCGGTAAAAAACTTTCATATAAATCGGTCTAGTAGTTTCGAAGCTTATTCGGTACAAATAAACAAACAAAAAAACCTTTCCTCTTTATAATATTAGTATAGAATATGAATAAATAAAATAATACAGCTACTTTTATAAACGCTAAAAATTGTATGTGTGTATGTTTGTTACGTCTTAACGCTGCAACGGTTGGTCGGATTTGGATGAAATTTAGAAAGTCGCTAGTATTTTTATACATATAAAAAAAGAAAAATGTTATTGATAAATATCCCATATGGAGCAATTGCATGGGTCGCACATACTTATTTGTCTGGTGAAGTGTTCAAGTTCAACCCTTTTTAAGGATTCTTAGTACGCGCCATTTGCTACTCGACCTTAAAGATTTTTTTAAAGTGAAACTTCTTTAGAATTGTTGTGATTTGAAACTCGATGAAACGGAAACGCAACATTTAAAAAAAGTCAAACACATAAATATATACGATTAAGCCAGCCAGAGATTGAGATAGAATACATTGCCATGTTGCCATGGTTACCGTTGTTATTTGAGATAGAATACATTACACAGCATTACATTATATAGCATTAGTAGGTATCTACATATATCCCCCCCAATGTGCGTTCACCTTGTCGTGGTGGGGGGGCTCAGTAGTGCCCGGCAACCCAACCGGGCGCGAAGCTAAGAAACGCACAGGGAGGTTGCCCACTTCGGTGGGCGGTGGGAGGTGGCCCTCTTCGGGGGGCGGTGTACCATGCGGGTTGCTCCTGGTACTTCTCTGATAGCAGAGAGAACTGTGGAGCAACCCCATGGTTGTGGCGGTCTGCTTCGGCAGACCTGCCGTCGGGGCGTCGTAGTTGAATGCGTAAGCGATCCTGCGACGCCCTATTAAGACGGGGGAAGGTTTTGTTGGGTTTTAGTGGGTAGTACTGGCTGTATTACGCCGGTGAGTCCCACACGTCGTGCGTAAATGCATTTCCCAACGTTAAAAAAAAAAAAGCATCTACATACATACATCTTATCTTCAGTAAGTGAATATGTAATGCTCAGTAATAACGTGCTTTACATCGAAACTAATGTATAAATGGAGCAAAAAACTAAATAGCAATCATAGATACAAATTTCCATTTTCAAACGGGTCAAAACTCGCACCTCTGAGAGTTTCTCTCGCACTTCTGAGAGAGACAGAAAGAGTACATATCTCATTTACATATTACCACTTGCTAATACGGCTAAAGAAAACATCGCGGGAAAACATGCATGTTTAAGACAATGTAACTAATTAAAATAGAAAATACTTGTGATGTACAAAGAAAATATAAATAAATAATAAATAAATATGTTGGGAAATTAACACACAGCACCGTCTAGTTCCAAGGTAAACTACGAGGCTTGTTTTATCGAGATAGTCGATACACTACACATAATATATAACTTTAAATACATACATATTATAATTATATCACAAACCTGTGTGGAGTATGCCTCCAACGGGACTCGAACCCGCTACCGCTGGCACAGCAAGTGCAAACGTATCGTCTAAGAAAATCATGCGCTAAACGAGTTTTAACTCGTATTTATATTAGTGAAACTTTGTAAGGGAGTTCATAATTTTTCAATTCGATCAACGTATGCCAATTTCAATAAAACACGTCTGAATGTTCTCTAACCTTGTAAGAATTTACATCAAATCAATTTAAAACAAAATCAGTTCGAATCAAACTTACAGACGCCACATATTCTATATTATAAAGCTCAAATATTTGTTGGTTTTTTGTTTGTTTAAACATTATAATCTCTGAAATCATTAGTCCGATTAGAAATTTTACTTTGCATTAGGTAGCTTATTTACTATATATATATATATATATATAGACTACCTAAAATCGCGCTTCGAACGTAGCACTTATATACATATAAATAGCACAAATGCTAGTATATAATATATGCAATATATATGTAAATATTCTACACTGCGCGATATAACATCCGATAACTAAACTAATGCACATCTTGAGTTCCAAAACGCTTTCACTCCAATACGTTTTGGCTTCAAATATCGCTTATACCAAGAATTTGGCAAGTGAAAGAGGTCAAATTTTAATATTATGTAAGTTATCCATAAAGTACATCTATAAAGTAAAAATAATATAAAAAATAAACAATCTTACGTAATATTTCATAACATTAAGTTACTTATCCTTACTTACCCACACTCTTGTCCTAAGTTTTGTTAGTAATCATGTTTATACGTTGTATGTATATATATATATATATACACATTGTACAGTACAGTGGAGCAAATTTCTTTTGGAATATTAAAATATCTTTAGGAGATAAGTACTTTCTTAGATTTACACGAATATTTGACATTTTAAATAAAACTATCTTTTCGAATTTTTCGCGGATTTATTTAGATTTTTGGTTCCCGACGTTTCGAATGCTTTACAGCATTCATGGTCACGGGAGAGACTGAGGTGTTACATGTCTCGAAGGTACAGTTATTACAGACAGCTTACACACAAATAACAAAATGAAAAATTGCACCAAGTACCTAACAATATTTTATAACTTCTAACATTTTTATAATTTTAATTAGTTTTATAATCGAATATGGAATATTATTTATTTAATTTTGCTGTTATCATTATAATTATTACAATTTTAAAAATATTAATTAGTAATCTATATTTAGTGTTGGCATTATTATATTTTTAACCATAAAGAAAAAATATAAAATATAATATTAATCATTTAAGCCACATAATTGTTCTATGTGTAATTTAAAAAGTTAAAATTAATTAAGAATAACAATTTTCATTTTGTTTGCTATCATTTAAAAAAGACAATTTACTAAGCAACACTATTACTATATACTTTTACAAATGAAAAATGAAATCAAAACGAAAATAAACTTCTAAATACAAGACAACTTTCACTTATATATCAAATAAATAAAAGCTATTCATATGTGATTCCATTTATTTTATTATGAGTAATGTATGGAAAGTGGCTTGGGGAAAAATGTTTTTATTCAAATGACCCTTGGACGAATATATGATATCTTAGCTTGCTTAATATAAATTACTGTAGTATTGTCTGGACGTTCACAGAAGATTAAGGCTCATATTTCATAAAATGAGAATTCCAGCCAATTTTCTTGATATTTTCTATGTTATATTTTCTTAGATTTACGCGAATATTTGACGTTTTAAATAAAACTATCTTTTCGGATTATTTCGCGGATTTATTTTGATTAGTGGTTTCCGACGACTTTTCGTTTGGTGCCATTTTTGAATTTTAGAAATCATTTTTGTAAAATAGTAGGTAGGCACTGTATGTAACAAGTGTGTATCGCCTTTGAGACGTCTATAACCTTAGTCTCTCCCGTGACCATGATTGCTGTAAAGCATTCGAAACGTCGGGAACCAAAAATCAAAATAAATCCGCGAAATAATCCGAAAAGAAAGTTTTATTTTAAATTTTTTATCTTATTAAATGCTAAAACTAGCAACTTACCCTAGCTTCGTTCGGGTGCGTCGCTAGGTACACGTATTTTGTTCACAATTTCATGAGTTTTAATTCTTTTGCTCGGAACCCTCATTATTTTTCTAAACTAAAAGTAGCCTAAGTTACTCTATATAACATCAGCTATTTGATCTGATCTGATCTGACATAGAGACAGACAAAAATTTTAAAATTATTTTTTCTTATAAGTAACTTATATACTTTCTTATGTACTTAGTAAAAAGCTGTTAATTTGTCATTACAACAGACAATTGAATTTTATTTATATAATATACGTATGATATCACATACACACATATGTATGTATGTAAGTAAGCAAATGATTTAACCCATAAAGTTAATAGAACTCTCAAAACTAACGTTTTAAGAATTGTAGAGAAATCCTTAAAACGATACACTGAAACCGTATTTAAAAATCTAATTAACAGAACGAATTAATATAAGCAATGCTTTACAATATAACTGAAAATAAAACAAAGATTACATCACTAAAAATTATAATACTGTCGATTTCGATTGGCTTCAAAAAAAGAGGCAGAGGTACGAGTGTACCTATTCTTTGGGTATATGTTACGCAACGCAATATCATTACCAATTGTAAATCGATTTTAATAATTCCTAATTAAATCGATTTTTTAGTAAATAGATTATATATACATGAAATAGAAAAGTAATTACAATAAAAAATCTAAGAAAAAAAAGAAAGTGATTTTGAAGTCAAGCTGCTATTACTTCTCATGTAATACTTATGTTATACTGATGGGTACATATATAAAGATTTATTGTTGTCTGATTGTTTAATTTTCAAAGTCGACAAACATAGTTTGGGTATATCGTTAGTATCGCTATACATATGTATATAAAAAACAGTAAATGAAATAGAAAACACTTAAAATATATTACAAAGTATGAAAAATAATCTCTAAAATAACAAAAGCCAAAAACTCTAAAAAATATCATATAATAACTTTTGTCTTACAATCTCCGTTAATGTAATCCGGATGTAACTCGTTGTTGTAAGTTTCGATGCCAAAATTTGGTATTATAACTTTTAGTATAAACTATTATATATTAAAAACTTTCATGGTCACTGAAGACAATATATGGGTATTATCTATACTAATATTATAAAGAGGCAAAGTTTGTGAGTTTGTGACGTTGTAGGGGGTAATCTCTAGATCTACTGAACCGATTTAGATGAAATTTGGTAAGAACATATTTGACAACCTGGGACGGATATAGGATACTTTTTATCCCGGAAATCATCCCTTAAAGAAGTAAAAATGGGGATGTGTAGTTTACCCGTGACCATGGTACTTGTAATAATGCCGAGATATCTACTA